TCCTCCACAGGACCCTTGTACTAGTTTGCTCCTCCTCCACAGGACCCTTGTACTAGTTCGCTCCTCCTCCTCCAAATGACTCTTGTACTAGTTCGCTCCTCCTCCACAGGACCCTTGTGCTAGTTCACTCCTCCACAGGACCCTTGTACTAGTTCACTGCTCCTCCAAAGGACCCTTGTACTAGTTTGCTCCTCCTCCACAGGACCCTTGTACTAGTTTGCTCCTCCTCCACAGGACCCTTGTACTAGTTTGCTCCTCCTCCACAGGACCCTTGTACTAGTTTGCTCCTCCTCCACAGGACCCTTGTACTAGTTCGCTCCTCCTCCTCCAAATGACTCTTGTACTAGTTCACTCCACCTCCAAAGGACCCTTGTACTAGTTCCCTACTCCTCCTCCAAAGGACCCTTGTACTAGTTCGCTGCTCCTCCAAAGGACCCTTATACTAGTTCACTGCTCCTCCTCCAAAGGACCCTTGTACTAGTTCACTGCTCCTCCTCCAAATGACCCTTGTACTAGTTCACTCCACCTCCAAAGGACCCTTGTACTAGTTCACTGCTCCTCCTCCAAATGACTCTTGTACTAGATCACTGCTCCTCCTCCAAAGGACCCTTGTACTAGTTCCCTACTCCTCCTCCAAAGGATCCTTGTACTAGTTCCCTGCTCCTCCTCCAAAGGACCCTTGTACTAGTTCGCTGCTCCTCCAAAGGACCCTTATACTAGTTCACTGCTCCTCCTCCAAATGACTCTTGTACTAGATCACTGCTCCTCCTCCAAATGACCCTTGTACTAGTTCACTCCACCTCCAAAGGACCCTTGTACTAGTTCCCTACTCCTCCTCCAAAGGATCCTTGTACTAGTTCCCTGCTCCTCCTCCAAATGACCCTTGTACTAGTTCCCTGCTCCTCCTCCAAATGACCCTTGTACTAGTTCACTCCACCTCCAAAGGACCCTTGTACTAGTTCCCTACTCCTCCTCCACAGGACCCTTGTACTAGTTATCTACTTATCCAAAAGACCTTTTACTAGTTCACAGTGGACCCCATTTACTAGTTTACTAATTATCCAAACAAGTTTCTTTATTAGTTTACTACATCTGCAAAGGAACCCCACTACTAGTCCAGTACCTCTGCAAAGGAACCCCACTACTAGTCCAGTACCTCTGCAAAGGAACCCCACTACTAGTCCAGTACCTCTGCAAAGGAACCCCACTGCTAGTCCAGTACCTCTGCAAAGGAACCCCACTGCTAGTCCAGTACCTCTGCAAAGGAACCCCACTGCTAGTCCAGTACCTCTGCAAAGGAACCCACTGCTAGTCCAGTACCTCTGCAAAGGAACCCCACTGCTAGTCCAGTACCTCTGCAAAGGAACCCCACTACTAGTCCAGTACCCCTGCAAAGGATCTCTTTACTAGCTCACTACTTCTCCATATGACCCCTTTAATATTTCAATACTTCTTAAAAGGGTCCCTTTACTAGTCTATTGCTTCTACAAAGGATCCCTTTAATAGTTGACTACTGCTCCAAAGGATCCCTTTACTTTTCTCCATGCGACCCCTTTAACAGTCCAATACTCCTCCAAAGGATCCTTTTTGCTAGCTGACTACTTTTCCAAAGGATCACTTTACTAGCTCTCCATGTCTCAAAAGCTCCCCTTTACTAGTCTAATGAGGTCCCCCTCCCAGGGATCACCAGTGTAAGGGGGTTCTTCTCCCACTGACCACCAAAGTATGGTAACTCTTATTATAAGGGTCATTCTTCCCAATGGCCACCAGTGTAATGAGGTCCCTCAGCCAGTGATCACCAATGTAAAGTGGTTCTTCTCTCACTGACCCACCAAAGTAAGGTAGCTCCTTGCCAACCCTCAATATAAGGGCCATTCTTCTCAATGACCACCAGTGCAATGAGGTCCCTCAGCCAGTGGTCACCAATGTCAGTTGGCTTTACTCCCACTGATGACCAAAGAGAACTCTACACTGGCCTCCAATGTAAGGATGATTTCTCAATGACCAGTGAAATGGGGACACACTTCCATTGATAACCAACGTAAGGTGGTTCTTCTCCCACTGACAACCAAATGGGAGCTCTTTACTGACCACCAATGTAAGGGCTAGTCTCCACAATGGCCACTGGTGTAATGATGTCGCTCTCTCAAAGATCACCAATGTAAGGTGCTTCTTTTTCCAATGACCACCAAAGTAAGGGAGATCTTCACTGACCCTCAATATAAGGGCCATTCTTCTCAATGACCACCAGTGTAATGAGGTCCCTCACCTAGTGATCACCAATGTAAGTTGGCCTTACTCCCACTGATGACCAAAGACCACTGATGACCAAAGACAACTCTACACTGACCTCCAATGTAAGGATGATTCCTCAATGACCTGTGAAATGGGGACACACTGCCATTGATAACCAATGTAAGGTGGTTCTTCTCCCACTGACAGCCAAATGGGAGCTCTTTAATGACCACCAATGTAAGGGCTAGTCTCCACAATGGCCACTGGTGTAATGAGGTTCCTCAGCCAGTGATCATCAATGTAAAGTGGTTCTTCTCTCACTAACCACCAAAGTAAGGTAGCTCCTTGCTGACCCTCAATATACGGGACATTCTTCTCAATAGCCACCAGTGTAATGAGGTCCCTCAGCCAGTGATCATCAGTGTAAAGTGGTTCTTCTCTCACTGACCACCAAAGTAAAGTAGCTCCTCCCTGACCCTCAATATACGGGACATTCTTCTCAATAGCCACCAGTGTAATGAGGTCCCTCAGCCAGTGATCATCAGTGTAAAGTGGTTCTTCTCTCACTGACCACCAAAGTAAGTAGCTCCTCCCTGACCCTCAATATACGGGACATTCTTCTCAATAGCCACCAGTGTAATGAGGTCCCTCAGCCAGTGATCATCAATGTAAAGTGGTTCTTCTCTCACTGACCACCAAAGTAAAGTAGCTCCTCCCTGACCCTCAATATACGGGACATTCTTCTCAATAGCCACCAGTGTAATGAGGTCCCTCAGCCAGTGATCATCAGTGTAAAGTGGTAATTCTCTCACTGACCACCAAAGCAAAGAAGCTCCACCCTGACCCTCAATCTACGGGCCATTCTTCTTAATGGCGGCCACCAGTGTAATGAGGTTGCTGTCTCAAAGATCACCAATATAAGGAGCTTCTTTTCCCAATGACCACCAAAAGTAAGGGAGCTCTTCACTGACCTCAATATACGAGCCATTCTTCTCAATGACCACAAGTATAAAAAGGTTCCTCCCCAATGTAAGGTGGCTCTTCCCTCACTGACCACCAAATGAAGGACATACTTTTCCATGGACTGTCAACGTGAGGGAAAACGGTTTTCTGGCCATCAGTATTTGTTTCCTTTCATTATCATTACTGAAAATAATTTAGGGTTTTTTTTTGCCCGAAATGTCAAATAATTTAAGCATTCCACCATCTTTATTTCTATCAGGGGTTCCCTGGAATCCAAAAGTTATCTCAAGGGTTCCTCCAGGTTGAAAGGTTTGAAAATGGCTGATATAGAGAACATGAAATCATCTCTCGTGCTCTTCCATGGAATATATATCTAAACACACGTATTGGACAATTCAGTCCCATTGCAGATGGTCTCCCTGTGGTGGGTTATGTCCCGGATTACGCTTGTAATCTGTCTCCTCCCAGTTCTCAGAGCGGATTGGAAGGCGGATTTATTTCATTGTTACTTTAGAACAAAGAATTTCCATAAACCTCGGAGGATCAGCTTCTGAATTCTGCGGAGGCGCCGGATCATCTCACAGGTGATAAATCCATTAACAACATGGAGTCAGTTACGTCTGCTGGCGCGGGTGGATGAAAGTCTCTGCAGAGAGGCCTCAGGATTGCACCCCCCAATCCAATGTTATCATTGAGACGTGGACACCCAACATTCCATGACTGGCGGTCTGTGAGCCTACAATGCATATCCAACACTATATATATATATACACACAGTACACAGGGCTTTTATTCAGCTGGAAAGTGGTGGAAAGCATTCCTGCACCTCCAACACTGAATATACACCATATTGCCCCAAGTATTGGCCGGCCTTTCCACGCACATGACCATTAATGGCCTCCCAGTCTTAGTCCATAGGGTTCAATATTGAGTTGGCCCCGCCCTTCCCACGCACATGACCTTTAATGGCCTCCCAGTCTTAGTCTGTAGGGTTCAATATTGGGTCCCCAGCCTTTCCACGCACATGACCTTTAATGGCCCCCCAGTCTTAGTCCGTAGGGTTCAATATTGAGTTGGCCCCGCCCTTCCCACGCACATGACCTTTAATGGCCTCCCAGTCTTAGTCCGTAGGGTTCAATATTGAGTTGGCCCCGCCCTTTGCAGCTATAACAGCTTCAACTCTTCTGGGAAGGCCGTCCACAAGGTTTAGGAGGGTGTCTATGGGAAGGTTGGACCATTCTTCCAGAAGCACATTTGTCAGGTCAGGCACTGATGTCGGGGAAGGAGGCCTGGCTCGCAGTCTCCGCTCTAATTCATCCCAAAGGTGTTCTATGGGGTTGAGGTCAGGACTCTGTGCAGGACAGTCAAGTTCCTCCACCCCAAACTGGCTCCTCCATCTCTTTATGGACCTTGCTTTGTGCACTGGTGCGCAGTCATGTTGGAACAGGAAGGGGCCATCCCCAAACTCCTCCCACAAAGTTGGGAGCATGAAATTGTCCAAAATGTCGCCTTCAGAGTTCCCTTCACTGGAACTAGGGGGCCAAGCCCAACCCCTGAAAAACGACCCCACACCATAATCCCCCCTCCACCAAACTTTACACTTGGCACAATGCAGTCAGGCAAGTACCGTTCTCCTGGCAAACCCAGACACGTCCATCGGATTGCCAGACAGAGAAGCATGATTGGTTACTCCAGGGAACATGTCTCCCTTGCTCTAGAGTCCAGTGGCGGCGTGCTTTACACCACGGCATCCGACGCTTTGCATTGCACTTGGTGATAGAAGGCTTGGATGCAGCTGCTCGGCCATGGAAACCCATTCCATGAAGCTCTCTACGCACTGTTGTTGGGCTCATCTGAAGGCCACACCAAGTTTGGAGGTCTTTAGCTATTGACTCTGCAGACAGTTGGTGACTTCTGCGCACTGTGCGCTTCAGCATGCGCTGACCCCGCCCTGTCATGTGACGTGGCCTACCACTTGGTGGCTGAGTGGCTGTTGTTCCCAGTTGCTTCCACTTTGTTATAATCCCACTAACAGTTGAGCGTGGAATATTTAGTAGCCAGGAAATGTCACGGATGGACTTATTGCCCAGGTGACCACCTATCACGGGACCACGCTTGGAGTCACTGAGCTCCTGAGAGCGACCCATTCTTTCACCAATGTTTGTAGAAGCCGTCTGCATGTCTAGGGGCTTGATTGTATACACCTGTGTCCATGGAGGGGATTGGAACACCGGAATCACATGATATGGAGGGGATTGGAACACCTGAATCACATGATATGGAGGGGATTGGAACACCTGAATCACATGATTGGGAGGGGATTGGAACACCTGAATCACATGATTGGGAGGGGATTGGAACACCTGAATCACATGATATGGAGGGGATTGGAACACCTGAATCACATGATATGGAGGGGATTGGAACACCTGAATCACATGATATGGAGGGGATTGGAACACCTGAATCACATGATATGGAGGGGATTGGAACACCTGAATCACATGATATGGAGGGGATTGGAACACCTGAATCACATGATTGGGAGGGGATTGGGGCACCTGAATCACATGATTGGGAGGGGATTGGGGCACCTGAATCACATGATTGGGAGGGCGGGGCCAATACTTTTGGCAATATAGTGTATGTATACAAAATGTGTGGGGGTTCTAAGTAGTTTTCCAGCACAAAAATAATATATATATATAAAATGATGCTTGGGAGGTTCTAATTTTCTAGCCAAAAAGAAAAAGTATTTTTTTTAACAAGAGAGGAATGTCAGAATAAAACCTCAAATATGTAGTGACTGGCTTCAGGGGACACACAGAGAATAAACAAATCCTCCTACATAAGTTGTCCCCGTTTATCTGCACCCATCTCTTCTCTACATCCATTCAAAGTGCTGACTTTATAAAGCTTGTCTGAGAGTTCAGAAAAAGGGGCGGAGAACAGAAGTTACACTCTGCAGAGCCCAGTGAGGCAGCTCTGAGAGCTGATTGGAGGAAAGAGACACACCCCCGCTCCCTGCACAAAGGAACAGAGCTGAGGCCGTCAATCTGCCGGAGGTCCCTCCCGTGTCACCATTTCTCCCTCGGTGTCAGTAAAACTAGTCAGAAGCGACTCATGCTGATAGCAGAGGCAGCAGACAGATACAACACTCAGTGCTCCGGACTGAGACAAGTACACACTGTGGAGGGATGTGCTTTGTTTCATATTTCATGTCTGAGGTTTACAACCACTTCAAAGAAAGTCAATGTATCTGTTCATTTGTTATAAGTAATGACTGACTGAACATGCTGGAAATTGCTGGTGTCTATGGGGGGGGGGGGGGGGGGGGGGGGGGGGGGGGGGGCTTATGAAACGGTGAATGGGTTGACTGGGATCTTTAGAGATTCGCATAAATATGAAAGTTTTTTTATCATTTGAAGATTCTCGGCTCATTTTCTGCTCTAAACATAATAAAAAAGCCCCCCCCCTCCCCTCCATTCAGGGACGCCGGTCCCTCCTGGAGCCGTGTAATCACCCGGTCATTATGGATTTCCTGGAATCACGTTCTCCGCTCAGCTGGATCTACATGACAGACGCGGGATAGTTTCATGTTCGCTCCCGCTCTCCGCAGTACAGAAAATACCGCGATTATGGGGGGGGGCGTCCTGAGGAGACCGGCACGGAAGACGGGCGCGAGGGAGAGGCTCTGCGCCATCGGACCCCCATGACTCCAGCCTAGAGACCCCGAATTCAAAGAGAAACGCAGAATCTGAATGAGAATGTTTTTGCGGTAAATCTCATTTTATTTTATTATTTTTATTATTTTACTTTTGTAAAAAAAAAAAAAAAAAAAAGTAAAGTATTTGTATTTCTGCCCATCCAGTCCTGGGATTTACACAGCTCTGCCGCACAGCACAGGAAGAGGGAAGGGTGACAACACAGAGCGACCCACATCTAGTGGAATCACTAAGAAACGCAACGAGTGGCAACACTCCGCAGAGCGCAAAAACGTTTGCAGACCCCCCCCTCCCCCCCCCCCCCCCCCCCACAGTCAGGTCCATAAATCAATGTGCCCCAAATGGCTCTCTTATGGAACATCTTCACATGGGCGAGGGGCAGCGGACACACCCTGCAGGGAAATCTCCCCATTGTGGGAGGGGCAGCGGACACACCCTGCAGGGAAATCTCCCCATTGTGGGAGGGGCAGCGGACACACCCCCTGCAGGGAAATCTCCCCATTGTGGGAGGGGCAGCGGACGCACCCTGCAGGGAAATCTCCCCATTGTGGGAGGGGCAGCGGACGCACCCTGCAGGGAAATCTCCCCATTCTGGGAGGGGCAGCGGACGCACCCTGCAGGGAAATCTCCCCATTGTGGGAGGGGCAGCGGACGCACCCTGCAGGGAAATCTCCCCATTGTGGGAGGGGCAGCGCGGACACACCCTGCAGGGAAATCTCCCCATTGTGGGAGGGGCAGGCACACACACCCTGCAGGGAAATCTCCCCATTGTGGGGGGGGGGGGCAGCGGACACACCCTGCAGGGAAATCTCCCCATTGTGGGAGGGGCAGACACACACACCCTGCAGGGAAATCTCCCCATTGTGGGAGGGGTAGCGGACACACACACCCTGCAGGGAAATCTCCCCATTGTGGGAGGGGTAGCGGACACACACACCCTGCAGGGAAATCTCCCCATTGTGGGAGGGGCAGAGACACAAACTACTGGGGGAAATCTCCCCATTGTGGGAGGGGCAGAGACACCAACTACTGCGGGAAATCTCCCCATTGTGGGAGGGGCAGAGACACAAACTATTGCAGGAAAATCTCCCCATTGTGGGAGGGGCAGAGACACAAACTACTGTGGGAAATCTCCCCATTGTGGGAGGGGCAGAGACAAACTACTGCAGGAAATCTCCCCATTGTGGGAGGGGCAGAGACACAAACTTCTGGGGGAAATGTCCTCCTTGTGGGAGGGGCAGAGACACAAACTACTGGGGGGAATCTCTTCATTGTGGGAGGGGCAGAGACAAACTACTGCAGGAAATCTCCCCATTGTGGGAGGGACAGAGAGACAAACTACTGGGGGAAATTTCCTCATTGTGGGAGGGGCAGAGACACAAACTACTGCAGGAAATCTCCCCATTGTGGGAGGGGCAGTGGACAAACTACTGCGGGAAATCTCCCCATTGTGGGAGGGGCAGAGACACAAAGTACTGCGGGAAATCTCCCCATTGTGGGAGGGGCAGAGACACAAACTACTGCGGGAAATCTCCCCATTGTGGGAGGGGCAGAGACACAAACTACTGCGGGAAATCTCCCCATTGTGGGAGGGGCAGAGACACAAACTGCTGCGGGAAATGAGATGGATGCCATCAGTGGAATTTAAACGATTTAAAAATATTTTTCTTTTTTTTTTTTTTTTTTTTTTTAAATTGTGAGGAATCCTGAAGCTTCTTCTATGAACGGCCGTTATGTTCAGAATGGGTCCAGGCCGGGAAGATCCGCGCTCGCTCGGGATTCCAGCTAGGGGACCCTACAGTCCACATCTGCCCAGGTTCCGTGGCCCCATCACGAGGGGCAATCATGCGAATGCTTTGTGCTCTTTCCATGGCGCTGGCCGCTCTCCCAGCCACTAAAGCAAAGTCCAAGTCTCTGCGGAGCCCGCGTATTCATCCTTGTTTATGGGATTCATGGTCTTTTTTTTTTTCAAAAACAACACACTGTGCATTCTGTCAAACTTCCCTGGCATGCCGTCAAGGCCGGGGGAAAAAAGCAAACAAGGGTTTCAAGCATGGCGTCCACTCTGCCCACCCCCCACCCCCCATACAACGAGCGGAGTCAGAGGCGAATGTTCAGACGCATTGAAGCGTCCTCTCCAGAGACACGGAGCGTGGCTAATTAGGTGCCTGGGCTCTGTCAATTAAGCTACAATTAAAGTGGCGTGTTTGGCCAACAGGTTGGAGGAATATGAAGTGGTTGTCCTGTACGCGGGGAGGAGGAGGATGGCGCGTTATTGGCATTCCATATAAATGGAGGTCATTCCGGGATGGGATCCCACGGGGTAGAACATGCCAATTTTCAAGGTTGTTCCTATTCATGGATAATTGTTGGCATTTTCGAGGCATGTGTTACTTAGTCGGAGGCTGGTAATGGAGGCTACAGCTTTGACAGGGAAGGACCTAACTCAATGACATTCACGGAGTATCATAAGCAACTACACAATACAAGTCCTCCACCGATGGAGCACTTCTCAGGTTAGGTTTACCAATGTGACAATGGTGGAATATACCAGTGCTGAAATGGGATCCCATGGGGAAAGAATATGGCAATTTTCAAGTTTGTTCCTATTCATGGACAATCGTTGGACCGTACCAGTGCTGAAATGGGTTCCCATGGGGAAGAATATGGCAATTTTCAAGTTTGTTCCAATTAATAGATAATCGTTGGACCGTACCAGTGATGAAAAAGGATCCCATGGGGAAGAATATGGCAATTTTCAAGTTTGTTCCTATTCATGGACAATCGTTGGACCGTACCAGTGCTGAAATGGGATCCCATGGGGAAGAATATGGCAATTTTCAAGTTTGTTCCTATTCATGGACAATCGTTGGACCGTACCAGTGCTGAAATGGGTTCCCATGGGGAAGAATATGGCAATTTTCAAGTTTGTTCCTATTCATGGACAATCGTTGGACCGTACCAGTGATGAAATGGGTTCCCATGGGGAAGAATATGGTAATTTTCAAGGTTGTTCCTATTTATGGATAATTGTTGGCATTTTCGAGGCATGTGTTACTTAATCGGAGGCTGGTAATGGAGGCTACAGCTTTGATAGGGAAGGAGCATTTACCTAACTCAATGACATTCACGGAGTATCATAAGCAACTACACAATACAAGTCCTCCACCGATGGAGCACTTCTCAGGTTAGGTTTACCAATGTGACAATGGTGGAATATACCAGTGCTGAAATGGGTTCCCATGGGGAAGAATATGGCAATTATCAAGTTTGTTCCTATTCATGGACAATCATTGGACCGTACCAGTGTTGAAATAGGTTCCCATTGGGAAGAATATGGCAATTTTCAAGTTTGTTCCAATTAATAGATAATCGTTGGACCGTACCAGTGATGAAAAAGGATCCCATGGGGAAGAAAGATATGGCAATTTTCAAGTTTGTTCCTATTCATAGATAATTGTTGGACCGTACCAGTGATGAAATAGGATCCCATGGGGAAGAATATGGCAATTTTCAAGTTTGTTCCTATTCATGGACAATCGATGGACCGTACCAGTGCTGAAATGGGATCCCATGGGGAAGAATATGGCAATTTTCAAGTTTGTTCCAATTAATAGATAATCGTTGGACCGTACCAGTGATGAAAAAGGATCCCATGGGGAAGAATATGGCAATTTTCAAGTTTGTTCCTATTCATGGACAATCGTTGGACCGTACCAGTGCTGAAATGGGTTCCCATGGGGAAGAATATGGCAATTTTTCAAGTTTGTTCCTATTCATGGACAATCCTTGGACCGTACCAGTGATGAAATGGGTTCCCATGGGGAAGAATATGGTAATTTTCAAGGTTGTTCCTATTTATGGATAATTGTTGGCATTTTCGAGGCATGTGTTACTTAATCGGAGGCTGGTAATGGAGGCTACAGCTTTGATAGGGAAGGAGCATTTACCTAACTCAATGACATTCACGGAGTATCATAAGCAACTACGCAATACAAGTCCTCCACCGACGGAGCACTTCTCAGGTTAGGTTTACCAATGTGACAATGGTGGAATATACCAGTGCTGAAATGGGTTCCCATGGGGAAGAATATGGCAATTTTCAAGTTTGCTCCTATTCATGGACAATCGTTGGACCGTACCAGTGCTGAAATGGGGGTTCCCATGGGGAAGAATATGGCAATTTTCAAGTTTGTTCCAATTAATAGATAATCGTTGGACCGTACCAGTGCTGAAAAAAAGGATCCCATGGGGAAGAATATGGCAATTTTCAAGTTTGTTCCTATTCATGGACAATCGTTGGACCGTACCAGTGATGAAAAAGGATCCCATGGGGAAGAATATGGCAATTTTCAAGTTTGTTCCTATTCATGGACAATCGTTGGACCGTACCAGTGATGAAATGGGTTCCCATGGGGAAGAATATGGCAATTTTCAAGTTTGTTCCTATTCATGGACAATCCTTGGACCGTACCAGTGCTGAAATGGGTTCCCATGGGGAAGAATATGGTAATTTTCAAGGTTGTTCCTATTTATGGATAATTGTTGGCATTTTCGAGGCATGTGTTACTTAATCGGAGGCTGGTAATGGAGGCTACAGCTTTGACAGGGAAGGACCTAACTCAATGACATTCACGGAGTATCATAAGCAACTACACAATACAAGTCCTCCACCGACGGAGCACTTCTCAGGTTGTTTACCAATGTGACAATGGTGGAATATACCAGTGCTTTCCCATGGGGAAATGGGTTTGTTCCCATGGGACAATGGGGACCGTTAACCAGAATGGGATGGCAATTTTCAAGTTTGTTCCTTCAATCAGTGGACAATCGTTGGACACCAGTGGACAATGGGGTTCGGAAAATGGAATTATGGCAATTTTCCCTATTCATGGACAATCTTTGGACCGTACCAGTGCTGAAATGGGATTCCCATGGGGAAGAATATGGTAAGAATATGGACAATGAAGAATTTTTTTCAAGTTTGTTCCTATTCAACTCAATGGACAATCGTTGGACCGTACCAGTGCTGAAATGGGTTCCCATGGGAAGAATATGGCAATTTTCAAGTTTGTTCCTATTCATGGACAATTGGACCGTTCCAGTGGATGAAATAGGATCCCATGGAGAAGAATATGGCAAATTTTCAAGTTTGTTCCTATTCATGGACAATCGTTGGACCGTACCAGTGCTGAAATGGGTTCCCATGGAGAAGAATATGGCAATTTTCAAGTTTGTTCCTATTCATGGGGACCGTACCAGTGCTGAAATGGATGGGGGAAGAATATGGTAATTTTCAAGGTTGTTCCTATTTATGGATAATTGTTGGCATTTTCGAGGCATGTGTTACTTAATCGGAGGCTGGTAATGGAGGCTACAGCTTTGATAGGGAAGGAGCATTTACCTAACTCAATGACATTCATGGAGTATCATAAGCAACTACACAATACAAGTCCTCCACCGATGGAGCACTTCTCAGGTTAGGTTTACCAATGTGATGGTGACAGTGCTGAATGGGTGGGGAAGAATGTGGCAATTTGCAAGTTTGTTCCTATTCCATGACAATCTTTGACCGTAAGTAGATAGGATCCCATGGAGAAGAATATGGCAATTTTCAAGTTTGTTCCTATTCATGGACAATCGTTGGACCGTACCAGTGCTGAAATAGGATCCCATGGGGAAGAATATGGCAATTTTCATTATCAAGTTTGTTCCTATTCATGGACAATCATTGGACCGTACCAGTGTTGAAATAGGTTCCCATGGGAAGAAATATGGCAATTTTCAAGTTTGTTCCTATTCATAGATAATCATTGGACCGTGTGTTACCAGTGCTGGTAAATGGGTTCCCATGGGGAATAAGAATATGGCAATTTTCAAGTTTGTTCCTATGCATGGACAATCGTTGGGACCGTACCAGTGCTGAAATGGGATCCCATGGGGAAGAATCATATGCCTAATTTTCAAGTTTGTTCCTTCCCATTCATGGACAAGTCGTTGGACCGTACCAGTGCTGAAATGGGTTCCCATGGGAAGAATATGGCAATTTTCAAGTTTAGGTTTACCAATGTGACAATGTTCCTATTCATGGACAATCGTTGGACCGTACCAGTGCTGAAATGGGTTCCCATGGGGAAGAATATGGCAATTTTCAAGTTTGTTCCTATTCATGGACAATCGTTGGCTTTTTCAAGGCATATGTTCCCTCAGAGGCTGGTAATAGAGGGCACAGCTTTGACAGGGAAGGAACATTACCCAATTCATTTACATATACTTTTCTAAAGCACTGAGCATCATTAACGATTGCGCAATACAAGTCTTCCGCCGAAAGAGTATTTCTCAGGCCAGGTTTACGGATGGTGAGAATGGTGGATCATACCAATAATAAGGTTTACCAACGTGACAATGGCGGAACATACCAGTGCTGAAATGGGTTCCAATGGGGAAGAATATGGCAATTTTCAAGTTTGTTCCTATTCATGGACAATC